CACTACTAGGGGAGGGTGGCACTACTAGGGGGAGGTGGCACTACTAGGGAGGGTGGCACTACTAGGGGAGGTGGCACTACTAGAGGTGGCACTACTAGGGGAGGTGGCACTACTAGGGGAGGTGGCACTACTAGGGGAGGGTGGCACTACTAGGGGGTGGCACTACTAGGGGGAGGGTGGCACTACTAGGGGAGGGTGGCACTACTAGGGGGAGGGTGGCACTACTAGGGGAGGTGGCCCTGGGGAGGGTGGCACTCCTAGGGGAGGTGGCACTACTAGGGGAGGTGGCACTACTAGGGGGTGGCACTACTAGGGGAGGGTGGCACTACTGGGGAGGGTGGCACTCTACTAGGGGAGGGTGGCACTACTAGGGGGGAGGGTGGCACTACTAGGGGTGGCACTACTAGGGGAGGGTGGCACTACTAGGGGGAGGGTGGCACTACTAGGGGAGGTGGCACTACTGGGGAGGTGGCACTACTGGGGAGGGGTGGCACTACTGGGGAGGGTGGCACTACTAGGGGAGGGTGGCACTACTGGGGAGGTGGCACTACTAGGGGAGGTGGCACTACTGGGGGAGGTGGCACTACTGGGGAGGTGGCACTACTGGGGAGGTGGCACTACTGGGGGGTGCACTGGGGAGGGTGGCACTACTGGGGGAGGTGGCACTACTGGGGAGGGGTGGCACTACTAGGGGTGGCACTACTAGGGGAGGTGGCACTACTAGGGGAGGGTGGCACTACTAGAGGGTGGCACTACTGGGGGGAGGGTGGCACTACTAGGGGGAGGGTGGCACTACTGGGGAGGGTGGCACTACTGGGGAGGGTGGCACTACTGGGGGAGGGTGGCACTACTAGGGGAGGGTGGCACTACTAGGGAGGTGGCACTACTAGGGGAGGGTGGCACTACTGGGGAGGTGGCACTACTAGGGGGTGGCACTACTAGGGGAGGGTGGCTACTAGGGGAGGGTGGCACTACTGGGGAGGGGTGGCACTACTGGGGAGGTGGCGCACTGGGGAGGGTGGCACTACTGGGGAGGGTGGCACTACTAGGGGAGGGTGGCACTACTAGGGGAGGGTGGCACTACTAGGGGAGGTGGCACTACTGGGGAGGGTGGCACTACTGGGGAGGTGGCACTACTAGGGAGGGTGGCACTACTAGGGGGAGGTGGCACTACTAGGGAGGGCACACAGAGGTGGCACTACTAGGGAGAGGTGGCACTAGGGAGGTGGCACTACTAGGGGGAGGGTGGCACTACTAGGGGGAGGGTGGCACTACTAGGGGAGGGTGGCACTACTAGGGGGAGGGTGGCACTACTAGGGGGAGGTGGCACTACTGGGGAGGTGGCACTACTGGGAGGAGGTGGCACTACTAGGGGAGGGTGGCACTACTAGGAGGGTACCAGGGAGGCACTAGGGGGGGTGGCACCACTAGGAGGAGGAGGGTGGCACTACTAGGGGAGGGGTGGCACTACTAGGGGGAGGGTGGCACACTAGGGGAGGGGTGGCACTACTAGGGGAGGGTGGCACTACTAGGGGAGGGTGGCACTACTAGGGGGAGGGTGGCACTACTAGAGGGGAGGGTGGCACTACTAGGGGGAGGGTGGCACTACTAGGGAGAGGTGGCACTACTAGGGGAGGGGTGGCACTACTAGGGGAGGGTGGCACTACTAGGGGGAGGGTGGCACTACTAGGGGAGGGTGGCACTAGGGGGAGGGTGGCACTACTAGGGGAGGGTGGCACTACTAGGGGGGAGGTGGCACTACTAGGGGGAGGTGGCACTACTAGAGGGAGGGTGGCACTACTAGGGGAGGGTGGCACTACTAGGGGTAGGGTGGCACTACTAGGGGGTAGGGTGGCACTAGGGGAGGGTGGCACTACTAGGGGAGGTGGCACTACTAGGGAGGGCCGGTAATACTAGGGGAGGGTGCTGCTTGAAGGTGTCATTAGGGGAAAGGGGCACTAGAGAAAGGAAGGGGGGTTATGGGTGGTTATAAGGGGAGGGAAGGGGACGTAGAAGGGTGGGGTTAAAGGAAGGAGGGGGAGGGGAGGAAGGGGGGCGTTCTCTATTCATGTCACGGGTAACAGGATTATATAAAACCAGTTTGTATTAATGGGATAGTTCTCTCAGTTTAATACGTGTTACTGCTCCATCTAAAACACTTGTCAAATTAAAATTAAAATAACAGTTAAATACGCGTTATAACTAAATAGATAATTAACACAATTAATTACAGTATTTCGTTAATTACCCTTAATGACTCTCTAGGCAAAACGGTACTGAGCCACAGGTTATCATAAGGGTCAAACTCCTCACCAATAACAGGTCAACACCGCCACTAAGGTCAGGTCTCCGTGAGGGTAGGGGGGCGTAGCTACCGTGTGTAATGTGTCTGGAGAGAGAGAGAGAGACCTAACCAAACCTAACCAAACCTAACTTAACCTAACCTAACCTAACCATAACGTCTGCATTAGGGTCAAGTTCTAATGGGTTCCAAATCTCTCTCTCTCTCTCTCTCTCCTTTGTTCTCTCATTCCCATCATTATTCTCTCCCCTCTCCCTTAACCTACCCACTAAGGGAACCTATCAATTAATGGGTAGCTCTCCTCAATGGGTAGGTCCCCTGATGTCATCACCCTTAGTTTCCCTTTCCCTTACCTTCTCCCCTCTCCCTTTACTCCCCCTAGCTCCCCATCAACCCATAACATCCCCATTCTTCCCCACAACCCCCTACCTCCACATCGTCTCCATAATTCCTCCCCACAACATCTTATCCTCTCCCCATCTCCTCCCACTCCCTCCAACCCTTACTTCTCTTCCTATTCTCCTCTTCTCTCCCCCCCACCCTCCCAAAGCCCCCACCTCAAATATCCTCTCCTCCCAACCACCCCACACCTCTCCCCAATCACCCCACACCCTCCCAGCCTAACCACCTCTCCCCAACCACCCCACACCCTCCCCAGGCCTAACCACCTCTCCTCCCCCAACCACTCCCCCCCACCTCCCCAGGCTTCAACCACACCCCACAGTGGCCACATAGGCGGGGAGGGGGTAGCCTACTCTCCCGCCTCAACAGAAATTTCATCACTTTATTGAAGGTTGACTGAGTGAGGAAGATTAGCGGTGATTGGTCAAAGATTGGGAGGGTAATAGGATAAGTGGCTGGGATTATCTCACAGGATTGGATATTATGGATTGGGACGAGGATTGGAGGGTTACTGGTGAGAATGATTGGATATATTGATTGGGACGAGGATTGAGGGTTACGGTGAGAATGATTGATATATGGATTGGGACGAGTGATTGGGGTTACTGGTGAGAATGATTGGATATATGATTGGGACGAGGATTGAGGGTTACTGGTGAGAATGATTGATATTATGGATTGGGACGAGGATTGAGGGTTACTGGTGAGAATGATTGGATATTATGGATTGGGACGAGTGATTGGAGGTTACTGGTGAGAATGATTGGATATTATGGATTGTGACGTAAGATTAGAAGGTAAAACAGCTGACCGTGGGTTAGGACAAATAACCATACCTAACACCAGGATTAGATACACTACGGATTAGGACAAGATTAGTAAGGTAAATAACGATTGGTAATGGTAATAGATCTACTGGCCAGGAGGATTAGACAGAATGGGATTAGTGATTGGAAGGTAAATAAAGACTTAATGACGATGATTGTGACGTGTTTACTCTCTCTCTCTCTCTCTCTCTCTCTCTCCTCTCTCTCTCTCTCTCTTCCTAGTTCGATCTTAAGGGAGATAAAAAACAATGATAGGGATAACTTACCTCTCAATCCCTCTCCCTCCTCCCTCCTCTCCTCCTCTCTCCCTCCTCCCTCCTCCCTCTCTCCCTCCTCCCTCTCTCCTCCTCCCCTCTCTCCCTTCCTCCAATAGGTAGCCAGGTAAGAAAAGTGTCATTAGTGCGACACCTGGGACCCTCCTACCTGGCTGTCCCCATCTTGCATGTCTCCACACACACACACACACACACACACACACACACACACACACACACACACACACACACACAGTGATCCTGGTAAACACACATGCTACCCAATGTCCCACAACGAGGCGGGCCAATGACCAGCCACGCCCCCCACGCCACATCTGGGCCTTAAGCCACGCCCAAAAGAACCCTCACAACCCTCAACCACGCCCACAAGCGAGATATACACGCCCCCAAAGGAACATGTGTGACCGACCTTCGCTGTCTCGCACGCCCCCCGGAGGAAAATCTCTCTCACTGGGGTCAACCAGGGGTCAACACGGGGTGGGGGAGGAGGGAGGAAGTGTAGGGTCGAGGGAGAAGGGTAGGGTCATAGGTTAGGTTAGGTCAGGTTAGGTCAGGTTAGGTCAGGTTAGGTTAGGTTAGGTTAGGATTGCTCTATTTCATCTTCATATTCATATCTCTCTCTTTCTTTCTGTCTGTCTGTTTCTCTTTCTGTCTGTGTATGTCTGTGCCTTTCTCAAACACCTATGAGATATCTCCTGCTTCCTTCAGCTGAGAGAGAGAGAGAGAGAGAGAAGAGAGAGAGAGAAGAGAGAGAGAGAGTCTTCCGTGTGTGATCTGTGTCTAAGCTTTTTCTCTCTCTCTCTCTCTCTCTCTCTCAGTAGTGGACCAAACAGGAGAAAGTATAGTACTCAGCGTGTTGCATGACGGCACACACACACACACACACACACACACACACACACACACACACACACACACACACACACACACACACACACACACACACACACACACACACACACTTTCCCCTGACCTCCTCGTGCTGTCCGTGTTGACCCCTCGTGCTGTGTCTCCATCTGCTGCTGTACTATGCTGTTCACTATCACTGCTGTTACAACCACTGCTACCATCTCCACCCTGCTTCTCACTGCCACGCCCATCTCAGCACCCACCCACCCACTATGGCAAGCAAAAACACCCACCGCCCACTTTACACACTTTCCACACCCACTGCAACTCTTAACATATCCCAATATGCTCCAATATGCCCCAAGATGTCTCAACATGCTCCAAGATACTCCTAAAATGCCCCAATATGCCCCAAGATGTCTCAATATGCTCCAAGATACTCCTAAAATGCCCCAAGATGTCTCAATATGCTCAATACTCCTAAAATGACCCAATATGCAAGATGTCTCAATATGCTCCAAGATACTCCTAAAATGACCCAATATGCTCCAAGATGTCTCATGATGCCCCTAAGATGACCCACAAAATACGAAGGTGCCAAATAAGATGTTCCAATATGCCCCAAATACCACAGGGTGCCACAATGTATCCCCAAGATGCTCTCAAGATGCTCCCCAAATGCTCCAAGACGCTCCATCTCATTTGCATACAACCATATGAGAACTGCATGACTAAACAGACAGGTATGTAGAGGCCAGGTAAACCAGAGGGCAGGTAAAACACAGGTAAACCCTCAAGTGTATATACTGAAATAGGTTTAGTTTACCTTCACTATATAATTTACCTGAAATATATGATTACCTGACGTCTATATAATTACCTGACGTCTATATAATTTACCTGAGATTATAAGACCATTATATGTAAGCAAAAATGTAAATCGACTATAATTATTACGTCAAATTTACACCTGACTATATCACTAATTAAATATAATCTGTAAATTATAGGTATATAGTTAACACAGTTTATGTAGGTAAATATAATCTGTAAATTATAGGTATAAAGTTCATAGTTTATGTAGGTAAATATAATCTGTAAATTATTCTGAGTTTTCATTTTCACAATTTACAAGTGATAATGTTGTGTAAATGTGTATATGTTACTAAATTGTGTTTATTTACCTCTTCGTCAGCTGTCATGTTATACCAAGGTTGGGGGAAGGGGGGAAGAGGAGGAGGAGAGGAGGAGGGGAGGGAGGGGGAGGTATTCCGTCATATATCAACAAAATTGGTGGGAATTCTCGCCCTTCCCCTCCTCTCTCCCCTTCACTCCTCTTCCCTACCTTCACCCCTCCTCCTCCCTCCCTCTCTCCTCCCACACAGCACCCCCCTCTCTATCCCACATCCTCCCTCCCTCCTTCTCACCCACCCTTCCTCAATCCCTCACTTTCTCTCTTTCCCACCTGTCTTCCCCATTCCTCCTCTCCCTCACTCTCATCTTCCCTCCCTCCTCCCTCCCCTACCAGCGTTGCCTCACTCCTCGTTGCCTCACTCCTCGTTGCCTCACCTCTGTACTTCAACTAAACACAGCAAGTTCCGCCTGGGCCGCCCACCCAGGAGGGCAACACCCCACTTTCGCTCGCGCGCCTGTGTGTGTGTGTGTGTGTGTGGAGAAATAAGTCATATTATATTTAAGTGTCCTCGAAACAGACAGACAGACTATTCAATATTAATAAATAAGAATACTTACAATGTGTTGATAACTTAAGACAATAAACAATAACTTCTTATTACTACTAACAACAACAACAACAACAACAACAACAACGATAAATAAAGCAGAAAGCACAGAAATAAAAAAACCCACAACCCTCCCACTGGCAACACCCACCATCCATGTTCCCATCTTGGTGGTCTGTGTTTATTTTCTTCCCAGACATTTAAAAGGCCAAAGGCAATTTCCAGCTGTAGTTCCCTTGATAGAGAGACTCCCACCAGGCCATTTAATATGAGTCTTTTACATGAGACTTTTTTCTTTTTCTAATATTGATATATTTAATTAATTTGAGATATAATTTTTTACAGGTATTTATTTAGTGTATCTAATCTTGTTAATTAATTGGTATTGGTTTAATGCAGGTAAAGAGAATGGTATTGGTTTAGGTACAAGTAATTAACACACAGGTACACGTACAGGCTTAGGCACAGGTAGTTTAATTACAGGTACAAGTAATTAAAACAGGTACAGGTATAGGTTAGGTATAGGTTAGGTTAGGTTAGGTTAGGTTAGGTTAGGTTAGGAAAAATGGTAATGCTATGGTTCGTGTTTACTTTATAAAATTTCTTTGTTTTTAAATTCATAACAAATAAATAAAACAATAAATAAATAAATAAAGGGATAACGAAAAAAAAACAAGAAGAGAGAGAGAGAGAGAGCTCTACCTTTATGTATACCCTACTGGCCAGGGGGGTGGGGGTGTCACCTTCCTCTCTTTATACTGATCTAAAAATAAGAACTTCCCACCAGGACCTCCCTCTCAACCCTCACCCTACCCTGCTATACTCGTATATCTCTTTCCCTACTCTCTCTCTCTCCCCACCTCATCTCACTCTCCCCACTCATCTCTCCTCCATCCTCTCTCTCCTCCCTCTCTCCCCTCTCCTCACCTCTCTCTCTCTCCATCTCTCTCCCTCTCCTCCCCCCGCCCACTCTCCTCCCCTCTCTCTCTCTCTCTCTCTCACTCTCTCTCCCTCTCTCTCCCTCACCTCCCCCCCACTCACCTCTCTCCCCTCCATCTCCTCTCTCTCTCTCCTCCCTCTCCTCTTCCCCCCCTCCCTCCTCTCTCCCTCCATCTCTCTCTCCTCCTCCCCTCTCCTCTCCCCCTCCCTCCCTCTCTCCCCCCTCTCTCTCCTCTCTCTCCTCTCTCCCTCCATCTCTCCCTCTCCTCTCTCTCTCCCTTCCTCACTCTCTCCCCCCTCCATCTCCTCTCTCTCCCCTCTCTCTCCTGCCTCACTCTCTCCCCCTCCCTCTCACTCTCCCCTCCATCTCACTCTCTCTCTCTCTCTCCTCCCTCTCTCCCCCCCGCCTCCTCTCTCCCCCCTCCATCTCACTCTCTCTCTCCTCTCTCTCACTCTCCCCTTCCCTCTCCTCTCTCCCCCTCCATCTCCACTCTCTCTCTCTCTCTCCTCCCTCTCCTCCTCCCGCCTCCCACTCTCCCTCCATCTCCCTCTCTCCCTCCCCCTCTCCCCCCTCCATCTCCTCTCTCTCCCCCCCTCCCTCCCCCCTCATTCTCCCCCCCTCCCCTCTCTCCCCCCCACCTCACTCTCTCCCCCCCCCTCCCTCCCCCACCTCTCTCCCCCCTCCCTCTCCCTCTCTCCCCTCTCTCTCTTCTCCCCTATCCACCTCACACATCCCCTTACTAGCATTAAGGAAAGGGAAAAATATACCTCCCTAAAAAAAAAACTTAAATCCCCCTTAACACCTACTCATGTTTCCCCTCACTACCTACTCCCTACATACCTAACCCCCCTAACCCCCCACCTATCCACCCCTTTAATGACTCGTAGACTGACTGACAGACACACAGACAGACAAACAAAGGGACACCCCATGGACCTTACCTACACCCACACAAAGGGTCAATATAAGGCTTACCTCCCTAGAGTTTGATAAGGGGAGGTAGGTGGGTGGGAATGGGGACAAGGGGAGGTAAAGGGAGGGTAAGGGAGGGTTAAGGGAGGGTAAGATGAGTTAACGGGAGGTAAAGGGAGGTTAACGAGAGAGAGAGGGAGGGTAAGAGGAAGCAAACGGAGGTAAAAGGAGGTAAATGGAGGGTAAAGGGAGGTTCAGGGGAGGTAAAGGGTAGGTTAAGGGGAGGTAATTTAATATACCTGGTGTATGGCTGGATATTGTCTGTCTGTCTATATTAACGCTTAATCTCTCTCTCTCTCTCAAACTATCTCACTTTCTCTCACACTTATATATATATAGAGAGAGAGAGAGAGAGAGAGAGAGGAGGTGGGCAGGGTGGGGGGAGTGTGCTGTTGCGCCCTCACTTCCCATCCCCCCACGCAGGATATGGTCACAACTGGGGGGTGGGGGCAAACCTCACCCCCAAGCCTACATTTCTACACCTGTCTTTTACACGTGTCTCGCAGATGTGTGTGTGTGTGTGTGTGTGTGTGAGGCTAGTCAACACCTCTGTACTCCTACACGTGTGATTCGCTATCTATATCTATCTATCTATCTATCTGACTGTCTGACCACTTTAATAATAATATTCTGAAGTAACGTGTCTAGTCTCTCTCTCTCTCTCTCTCTCTCTCTCTCTCTCTCTCTCTCTCTCACTGAACACTTTCCCACGCCCACCCCCGGTATGACACACACTTTTATGTTAACGAGGTTCTAATTACAATAACAGATCCACCCACGTAAGCATCACCTGGTTTCCGATAATGACGGGAAAATGTGTGTGTGTGTGTGTGTGTGTGTGTGTGTGTGTGTGTGTGTGTGTGTGTGTGTGTGTGTGTGTGTGGGAGAAATTATCTGTTGGTGGTGGTTATGATAGTAGTAGTAGTAGTAGTGATGGATGATTAATTAGAAAAACACGAAAAACATGAAAAACACTTCTAATCCCCACACGAGAAAAACATCCAACCAAATAAAAAACACACACACACACACACACACACACACACACACACACACACACACACACACACACACACACAAAACAATAACATTTTCACAGGAACAAACCTGAATAAAAAAATACAAAATAAATCAGACGAGAATCGATTTACAACACCTATTTATTCTGGAAAAAGATCAGTTCATTTTGTCAACGTCAGAATTACAGGAATACAGTCGCTTAGGCTTTGGTTACAGTGGTGGGCGATACAGGAAGTGGGTCAGTCGGATTACAGCCCCCACGCCCATGTTAATCTGTACGAGGGGTGTGGGGTGGGGTGGGGTGGGTGGGGTGGGGTGGTGTTGGGTGAGGTGGGGTAGGTGTGGTGTTGTGTGTGGTGGGGTGTGTGGTGGTGTGGTGTTGGGTGGGTGGGTATGAGTGGGGTGTGTGTGGGGTGGGGTGGGATGTGGTGGGTGTGATGTGGGTGTGATGTGGGTGGGGTGTGTGATGGTGGGGTGGGGTGGGGTGGGTGTTGTGGGGTGGGGTGTTGGGTGGGTGTGATGTTGATGGGTGGGGTGTGGTGTTGGTGGGTGGATGTGGGTGGGGTGTGATGGGTGGGGTGTGATGGGTGGGTGTGTGATGTGGGGTGTGGGGTGGGGATGTGGGTGTGATGTGGTGGGTGTGATGTTGGGTGGGGTGGGGTGTGGTGTTGAGGTGGGGTGGGGTGTGGTGTTGGGTGGGGTGTTGGTGGGGTGTGGTGTTGTGGGGGTGTGGTGGATGGGATGTGGGTGGGGTGTGGTGTTTGGGTGGTGTAGGTGTGATGTGGGTGGTGTGATGGGTGGGGTGTGATGTTGGGTGAGGTGGGGTGGGGTGAGGTGGTGTGGGTGTTGGGGTGTGGGGTGTTGGGTGGGGTGGGATGTAGGTGGGGTGTGATGTGGTGGGTGATGTGGGTGGTGATGTTGGGTGGGGTGGGGTGGATGGGGTGATGTGGGTGGGTGGTGTTGGGTGGGGTGGGGTGTGTTGGGTGGGGTGGGGTGTGTTGGGTGGGTGGGGATGTGGGTGGGGGATGTGGGTGGGGTGTGATGTGGGTGGGGTGTGATGTGGGTGGGGTGTGATGTTGTGGGGTGGGGTGGGGTGTGGTGTGGGGTGGGGATGTGGGTGGGTGGGATGTGGGTGGGGTGTGATGTGGGTGGGTGTGGATGTTGTGGTGGGTGGTGTTGTGGGGTGATGTTGTGGGTGGGGTGTGATGTTGGGTGTGTGTGGTGTTGGGGTGGGGTGTGTGTGGGGTGTGTTGGGGTGGGTGTGGTGTTGGTGGGTGTGGTTGGGTGTGTGGTGTTGGGTGTAGCTGGGTGGGGTGGGGTGTGGGGTTGGGTGGAGGTGTGGTGGGGTGTTGGGTGGGGTGGTGTTGGGGTGGGGGTGATGTGGGGTGGGGTGGAGATGTGGGGTG